TATTTTTAAATGTTATTTACTTCTCCAAAGAGCCAGGGAGGAAAGAAAGAGGAAGAGCAGTTTTGGGGGGGAAAGAATCCCTCAAATGAACCTGATATTTCCTGGGTTTTCTTTTCACTCTCATTTCCTGGTTTGCCTTTTCTGTTCTCAACCGCCTCTCTGATTGCTTGCTTTCCTTTTCAAAAACTCCTTTCTGTTTCTCTAATGCTTGTATTCAAATTTGAAGCTGTTTTTGCACACTTGGATAGAACTCTGCATAATTAACTTTTACTAATTTTTGCTCAACTCCTAATCAAATGATAACTAAAGTGTAATGTCATTTCTTAGCATATATACCTATACCTGCCAAATAGACTACTTTAGTCTGCATGATTTTTATGGGTCAAAAGCATGCCTTTAGATGGAGAAAATATGTCTGTGATGAGGATAAATTTTGGGGGTTGTTTCATACTCAAGGTTGAAGTTTTTAAACAGAATACATTTGAGGACATTAGATGTCTCCTTTATTCACAATATGCTTCCAAAGAGTCAAGATTTACTAAATTCTACCTCTCAGGATTTTAAAGTGAATGTGCACTCTCTACCACTTTTGTTGCCAAGGGAGCTCGCATCTGCCCCGGAAAACCTTCCCGTGGAGCGATGTCAGCAGAGATAAATGAATGAGAGTACATGCAGTTCTGTAATAATAGTGCAATTTGGCTAAAGGGTGACATCATCTTTTCACTGTTGTATCTGCCATTCTAAGTAGCAGTGAGTCCAGCTGAGCTAGAGAATGAATTACAGGGAGAGTGCACTGGCAAGGTGGGATTAAACATAAAAAATGGAATGGAAAATTAAATTTAAAAAGAAGGTAGCTTTGCATATATCCAGTCCACAATATATTTTTTCTTATGTATTGTTTTGATTTAATCACCACATCATAATTTGTCATCATTTTGGATTATGTGGAAAGATGCAAAGCCTCTTTCCTAATGGCTGTTTTGCTATATATACACATGGGTCCCACCAGAGTATAAATAGGGACGTTGGAATTGATTTTAGTCTTTAAAGGGCACATTTAAATGCTGGCAGATAAAATGCCTTTATCAGTTCAGTTCACTCACTGTGATTCCACATGCCTCACTGGTAACACTTGAGGGAGGGTTTGCTGGGTTTTATTTGGATGCCGAGAGAAGAATATCACCATCGTTCATGCTGATGAACCCTGGACACGGTTTGTTTCTGGGGAGGAGCAGTATGTGACTCTGTATTTGTTCTTTGAGGGCTGGATCAGTATTAACTCATTGCTTTTTTTTTTTTTTTTTTTTTTTTTAAGTAACAGCTTTATTGAGATAGAATTCACATACCAAAATACTGCTTTTGTTTGCTGATTTTTTATATTCCTGTCCTCTGATGTTCACAGGCATCAGATAAATTTCTGCAAAGGCACTGATAGTAGTTTTGAGGAATAAATATTGCAGATGGGTCAAATCAAAGAATCAAATTTCAAAGGTGGTTTAAGGAATCATGAAAAGGAGGGAAGAGCAGAAATGAAGGAAAGAGAATTCTAGAAGTAAAATGAGCAGTTGATTATTGAAAAGAAAATCTGCCATTTGAATAAAGACCAAAGAGCTTTCATTATTGGCTCCCCACTTGGCTGTGTCTTTTTTTGAGTAGCAAGTCCCACGATCAAGAAACCAGAAGGAAAGTGGACTTTAATTAGTAGTGATGACAATGTTCCAAACATCAACAGTGAATCTCCTAGGCAATTTCATTTCCAAAGCATGTTCGCATGTATCACAGGTAAATTTTTTTTCATGAACACCATTTTAACATAGGATTTTATTTGCAGAAGCTATTTTTGTGACCGAAAGAAAAAATGGCTCACTGAAACAGAACTTTGCTGATCTGGTTTCAGAGAATTCTATGAGATGAAACATTCCATGGAACTGAACACAGAATGGGCGTATCTGGTAATGAAAATGTTCTTTTGGTCCAGCATTATGTTTTATGCTTTAAAAGTGTTAGTATGCAAGGAACAGGGAGGAACAGGACAAGAGGAAGTAGGAAAATACTTTTTATTTGAATATGCTTTATATTTTCCAAAATACTCAGACCCACCAAAGCCTGGTAGCAAGTATTATCCTCATTTTACAGATGATAAACATGCTTCTAAGAAATATGTATTATGAGTGATAGAAAATCCATCTCAAACTGACCTAAGCAATAAAAGATATGTCTTTCTGTGTGTGTATGTGTGTGTGTGTGTGTTTTGGCTCAGAGAGTTGAAAAGTCCAGAGCAGGAACTAGCTTTCAGTGTGCCATGAAAGAGGTGTTCAGTTGATACCATCAGGGTCCAATTTCTCTAGACAACTTCCAATTCTGTTTTCCTAATATTCAGTTTTCTTCTAAGACAGGATTCTTTCCTCCTGAGGAGGCAAGATGGTTGTTAATAGCTCTAAAAAAAAAAAAAAAAAAAGTACCTCTTTCTCATAGTCCCAACAAAAGTCTAGTGATTGTGCCTCATTGCCTGTGATTAGGTCACATGTTCATCCCTGAATTTATCACTGTGGCCAGAAGGATGCAGTCCTCTGATTAGCTAGGCCAGAGACAGTAACTCCTGGACCAAATATATGTAAAAGGGTCAGCATGGCTTTCCACAGGAGAAGGAAGGCATTCCCCACAGTTTTATTGAGATATAATTGATAGCTAACATTGTGTAAGTTAAAATTACCTAATTTTATATCTCCAGTGTAGGCTGATTAAATGTTCCCCTGATACTGACATGATATATTTTCTTTTTTTTTTGCAACTGGATTCTAAACTTTTTGAGAGTAAGGGTTATATTTTGATAGTTTTTATGTCTTTACGCACAGTGTTTAGCATGCTTATTTGCCTTTAATCAAAATTCAGGAGATACTTGATTGAGTTATTGAGTTTTCCTGGTGAGATTATTAAATTAACTTGTAAAGTGTTATGGGAGCAGCTGGATACTGATTCCTTATTTATTGTGGTGAAAGAGGGGAGGGGAGGGTGGAGCATCCATTTTTATAAAGCTTTCTGGGTGATTCTCTCCCGAGAATTTAAAACTTTCCGTTAAGATTTCAGCATATGAATATCAGAGAGTAGGCTGACCGATGTAAAACTCTTCATTGAATCACAAACAGCCAAGGAAGTGATGTTGAAGTCAAGGCCCATTAGAAATCTCTTGGAAGCGAAGACATACAACTATAAAAACTCAAAAAGTACAAAATCAACATGAATTAAAATGGAAGAGAAAGACTTTGTTTAACTTGTTCTGTTTCAGTAGCCTATTGCTACATAGCGAATTGCTCCAAAAAGAGAGTGGCTTAAAACAACAATCTATTATTTCTCATTATATGAGTTGTCTGGGCTAAGCCTGCTGGTTTTTCAGCAACATATGGGTGTAACTGCAGTCACTCATGGCGCTACATTCAGCTGAGAGCTTGGCTGGGGCCTGAACACCCGAGAAGGCCTCTTACTGTCAAAAGTTTCTCTCCTTGGGATGTCTCATCATCCGGTAGACCAGCCCTCAATTCTTTGTAGTAGGATGGTTGACTTCCAAGAGGAAGCAGAAGCTGCCACTTCTCTCAACTGGGCTCAGAAGTGACAGGACATCACTGCCGCTACATCTATTGGACAAGACAAGTGACAGGGCTGGTCCAGATTCTAGAGTAAAGGAAGGAAAGTAGACTCCATTTCTCAATGTTAGGAGTGTGCAGAAAGAGGGGAGGAATTGTTGGTGGCCACATTTGGGTATTTTTTGCCATACTTACATCTGGCACATATAGTAAGAAGTGGCTATGCCTTTGGGCCATCTAAACTCAAGCCTAAAAACAATTACAGGATCCATGAAATGGAATACCATTTAGCTATAAAGAGGTATGAAATACAGAACCATTCTACAACATGGATGTACTGAGAAACATCATGCTGAATGAAAGAAGCGAGACACAAAAGACTATGTATTATACGATTTCATTTGCATGAAATGTCCAGAAAAGGCAACTAGAAGGAAACAAAAAGTAGATTCGTAGGTTGCTGGAGGTAGGAATGGGGATTAATTGTAAATGGGCATGAGAAATCTTACCAAGGTGATCAAAATGCTCTAAAGCTAGAGTATGGTTATGGTTACACAATTCAGTAAATTTACTAAAAATCATTGAATTGTACACGCAGGAGGAGTGAATCTCATGGTGTATAAGTGATATTTTGATGAAATTGTTAAGAAAATACAGCATGGTGGCCCTTAATTCAAGAGACATATTCCTGGAGGGCTTTGCATAATTAAAATCTTTGTAAGCGAAGGCTAATTTTCCCACAGGAATAAGTATAAAGCGGAGGGGATGCACTCTCAAAGTGTAAAACCCTACACCTGTTTTGGCCTCTTTTTGCTTGAAGTGCTTTTGTTTTCTTAGCCTTACATCTCTCACATAATACACTTTCCTAATTTAACAATAAGGTATTTTGAGGTTGGTATCTGGACTTCTGTAGCTTTTTGAACTGGACTAACTTCCAGTCCAAAGAGACTGATTTTCCAGTGAGTTTTTCAGTCATTGGGCCATCACTTAAGTAAACACTTGCATGACACTGTTAAAGACTATTCAAAAGATTTTAATCCCTTTTTAAAAATTTTTAAATTTTTACATTTATTTATTTTTGAGAGACAGAGAGAGACAGAGCTCAAGTGGGGGAGGAGAAGAGAGAGAGGGAGACACAGAATCTGAAGCAGGCTCCAGGCTCTCAGATGTCAGCACAGAGCTCAATGTAGGGCTCGAACCCACGAACCATGAGATCATGACCTGAGCTGAAGTCGGATGCCCAACCAACTGAGCCACCAGGCATCCCTTTAATTCTTTTTCTAAAAGTTTATTTTTGAGAGAGAGAGAGAGAGAGAGAGAGAGAGAGAGAGAGAGAGAGAGAATGCATGACTGGGGGAGGAGTGGAGAGAGATGGGGACACAGGATCTGAAGTGGGCTCTGCACTGACAGCCTGATATGGGGCTCGAACTCATGAACTGAACCATGAGATGCATAGCTCACTGAGCAACCCAAGTGCTCCAAAAGATTTTAATTCTTAGCAACTGTCAAACTTAAAATGAGAGCACAGGGGTGCCTGGGTGGCTCAATCAGTTAAACTTCCGACTCTTGACTTCAGCTCGGGTCATGATCTCCTAGTTCATGGGGTCAAGCCCTGAATAGGGCTCTGCACTGACAGTGCAGAGCCTGCTTGGGATTCTCTCTCTCTCCCTCTCTCTCTGCCTCTCTCCTGGTTGTGCTCTCTCTCAAAATAAATAAATAAACTTAAAAAAAAATAAAGTGAGAGCATATTAGCTATTCAAACCATTGGTCAAGTTTGGATGTCCATATGTAACAGTTTCTGCTGATCAAGGATTACAGGTATTTCTTTTTTAATTTTTTTTTCTGTGAAGATTTATTTACTTATTTATTTATTTAACATCCAAGTTAGTTAGCATATAGTGCAGCAATGATTTCAGGAGGAGATTCCTTAATGCTCTTTACCCATTTAGACCATCCCCCCTCCCACAACCCCTCCAGCAACCCTCTTTTTGTTCTCTATATTTAAGAGTCTCTTATGTTTTGTCCCCCTCCCTGTTTTTATGTTATTTTTGCTTCCCTTCCCTAATATGTTTTGTATCTTAAAGTCCTCATAAGAGTGAAGTAATGTGATATTTATTTTTCTCTGACTAATTTCGCTTTGCATAATACCCTCTAGTTCCATCCACATAGTTGCAAATGGCAAGATTTCATTCTTTTTTGATTGCCAAGCAATACTCCATTGTATATATATATAACACATCTTTTTTATCCATTCATCTGTTGATAGACATTTGGGCTCTTTCCATACTTTGGCTATTGTTGATAGTGCTGCTATAAACTTTGGGGTGCATGTGCCCCTTTGAAACAGCATACCTGTATCCCCTGGGTAATACCTAGTAGTGCAATTGCTGGGTTTTAGGGCATTTCTATTTTTAATTTTTTGAGGAACCTCCCTACTGTTTTCCAGAGTGGCTGCACCAGTTTGCATTCCTACTAGCAGTGCAAAAAGAGACCGTCCTTCTCTGCATACTCTCCAACATCTGTTGTTGCCTGAGTTGTTAATGTTAGCCATTCTGACAGGTGTGAGGTGATATCTCATTGTGGTTTGATTTGTATTTCCCTGATGATGAGTGATGTTGAGCATCTTTTCATGTGTCAGTTTGCCATCTGGATGTCTTCTTTGAAGAAGTGCCTGTTCATGTCTTTTTGCCCATTTCTTCATTGGATTATTTGTTTTTTTGGGCATGGATTTTGATAGGTTCTTTATAGATTTTGGATACTAACCCTTTATCTGATATGTCATTTGCAAATATCTTCTCCCATTCTGTTGGTTGCCTTTTAGTTTTGCTATAAGATTGTTTCCTTCACTGTGCAGAAGCTTTTTATTTTGATGAGGTCCCAATAGTTCATTTTTGCTTTTGTTTCCTTTGCCTCCAGAGACATATTGAGTAAAAAGTTGCTGTGGCCAAGCTCAAAGAGGTTTTTGCCTGCTTTCTCCTCGAGGATTTTGATGGCTACCTGTCTTCCGTTTAGGTCTTTCATCCATTTTGAGTTTATTTTTGTGTATGGCATGAGAAAGTGGTCCAAGTTCATTTTTCTGCCTGTCACTGTCCAGTTTTCCCAGCACCATTTGCTGAAGAGACTGTCTTTATTCCATTGGATATTCTTTCCTGGTTTGTCAAAGATTAGTTTGTCATACTTTTGTGGGTCCATTTCTGGGTTCTCCATTCTGTTCCATTGATCTGAGTGTCTGTTTTTGTGCCATGCAGGTATTTCTGTTAACCAGTTAAAGGGACACCTTCCTATGGCATTAACCAACACATAGTTTGCAAGTCAGTCAGCCTGCCCTTCTTGAAATTTTGCAAGCTTTGACAAAGTTTATATTTAAGGAG